CACCTCCGGCTCAGCCCCATGCACTGCCGGCTCAGCATCTCTCTCCTGGCCTCCCCATGTCACTTCTGCTCGGTCCCTCTAGATCCCTAGAATCATCCCTAGATGACTCCGTCATCTCCCTCACCTTCCATGTTGGATCAATCTTAAGCAACCAGAATACCAGAGTCTGTTTTTCCCTCCCCACCCCCAGTCCTTGCCTTTAGTTCAGTCGTGGATGTCCCTCGGCTGGGACAGGGGTCCCACCCAGTGGGTCTCCCAGCTTTAACCTCATCTTCTGCAATCCATTCCCCACCCAGGCCAGCAGGGTGTTCTGGTTCAAACACGCGTGTGTTTATCTTCTGGAAGGCCTCCTTGGCTCCTATTTTACTGTGTGTGACACAGCTCTGAGAGACATGCCCTACAGGGGAGAAGCGAGGTTCTCAGATAAGTGTGGGAAATACCACATTGTCATCTTCCTCTCGGGTGTGTGCAACGCCATCAGCTCATTAAAGCCTTGGAGATGTTCTGTGCTAAGGACGTTTCACGGTTGTTGAATGTATGGTTCCCAGGCCTATGTGACTGCAGAGCCCCTTTCCAGGTAACACTGAGAACACCCTAAGGTAGAAAAGGGCTGCATTGCAGGCCGCAGCCCAGTTCCTCCGCATGACAACCAGGAAGCTTTGCCACCCAGTCCCCTTTACCTTCCCTGTTGTCAGGGCAGGGCTCCCCAATGCAGACTCTAAGACAGAGATGAGCATGCGGGGGCTTATGAGGGAGGACCCTTGGGGCCAACGCCTGTGGGAGGGAAGGCAAAGAGCAGGAGTGACAGAGAAGTCAAGCCTCAGTGAGCTCAGGGGAGGCCTCAGCCAACACGATGTGAGATTCTCCGATTGGGGCTGCGGGTAAAGTCTTTGCGCCTCTGTGTGCACCTGTCTCTGGATGCCAGCCACCCTGGGAAAGGACGTGACCTCGGATCAGCGGTTTTCTCCAGCCAAGGCAATGCCCAAAGCTGGGGGAATACATTTTTCATACCAAAGGGAGAGCTGGACAGAACATGCCAGTATCCCCCATACCAACCCAACAACTATATACAGGTTGTTACTGGAATCGAGACAAGGGCTCCACACCACCATTATCCATGATGCTCAGAATCCGCTCAATCCAGTGTCTAATGTTATCACCATCATTGTACAGAGAGAGAAAAAGGCCTGGAGGAAGTGTTTGGCCAGGGCACTAATCCAGATCCCTGCCGTGACCAGTGACTAGGCAGATACTGATCACGAGTGACGGGCTGTGGTAGGGCCTGCGGCAGCCTGGAGGCCTGGCCCTGCTGAAAGCCTGCAGGGGGCTCCAGCTCACTGTGCAGCCACTCTTGCCAGGCCTCTGGTTTCACAAGAAAAGCCAGAAACCCCGGTTTTTATAAGACATTAATTAGCAGTCTATTTAGCTTGCTTAAAACCCTGTGCTGGTCACTGCTTGGCTGGCCAGTGTGGCCTGTGGGCTGCCAGCTTGTGACCTCTGTGTTAGACCCCGCAGGATTCCCAGTCTCTTCTTTGGGCTCTGAGTGTCAACAGCTTTGCTCATGTGAAGGTCAAGTTCCAGTCTTAGCTTTATAAGGGGTGGTAACTAATTCATCAATTCATTCATTCATTCATTCATTCGCGCACTCATTCATCCATCTGCCCTACACTTTCATGGTACCTGTACCGTGCCAAGTCCTGCCCAGGGTGCTGAGCTGAGTGAGATGGCTCCTTCTCCTTGGGGAGCTCAGAACCCAGGGGAACAACAGGTATAAATAACTACAGCACAAGGTCAAAGTGCAGTGACAAAGTGTGCAAGATGCTGCAGAAGCATCAAGGGTGGTGGGAATGGCTCTGCCTGAGGGTTGAGGAAGCTTCAGGCAGGAGATGGCTTCTGGGCTGAGCCTCAAGGCACAAGAGGGAATTCATCAGATGAGGAAGAGAGGGAAGGCGCTGAGACCAGGAGCCATTGCGTGTACCAGGCACAGACCTGGGGAGAGCTGGCGACGTCCTGGGCCTGGAGCACAAGGTGCAGGTGGGTGGAGGCAGTGGTGGAAGTTGAGGCCGAGGAGGAACTTGATCATGAAGGCTTTGCATGCCAGGCCCAGGAGTTTATTCCCTGATGTGTGGATTGTCCACAGAGGAGTGATCAGATCAGACTTCCTTCATCTCCCGCAACAGCCTCTTAGCAGGATGCTTGCCCCCAGTTCCCACTGGATCAGACTCATCCTGAACACCACTGTCAGACTATTTTGCCCCCAACACTGATTTGCTTTTGCCCTATCAGGCAGGAAAGCTGGCTGCCTATTTTCTAATGCATGAGTAAGCCCTGTTCCTGTCTAGTTTTTAAGGGCTTTTAAGACCCTCCTCACTCTCCAGTTTACTCCCAACTACTCTGCAATTGAACCCTTCACCCTGGTCAGACCTGTCTCCGTATCGATCAAGTCCCTCGCTTGCCGCCACAGTGCGTTCTCACCTCCAGCTGGAACTGCATTTTAGAACGTCCCTCCCAGCTGCAGCAGGGGGGCGGGGCGGGGCGGGAGAGGAGGAACTGAAGTGAGTGTGTAATCAGCTAAGAGAAGGTGAGGCTGGCCTCTGGGGGCGCAGGCAGGGATATCTGGAGGCAAAGGGCCGGGTCCTATAGTCGCCACTCCTGGCACCGGGAGGAGTGGATGAGTCCGGGTGAGGGCTCAGCGCTCTTGGGGTTCTCTTGTCCAGGTGAACACCCACCGAGACAGCGCCCTCACCTTTCTCAGCCAGAGCCTGGAGTACTCCAACAATTCCCGGGCCTCCCTCCGCAAGTCCTCGGTCCTGCTCATAGGTAACCTGCCCTGGCTCCTGGGGCTCTGCACAGTCTCCAGCCCTTTTGGCGCCGCGCCTGGGTGGGTGCTCCCCTTGGGTTTGAGGGTTGGCCAGCAGATAGTCATGGTGCAAATTAGAGAAGTCTTCTCTCCTCTAAGATCAGTGCCTGGGACGTGGCCACTGGCTGCATGCAGCCTGGGGTCCTTGTGCAGGCCGCAGCCTTGGCTCCTGCGCCCGGCAGAGCTGCTGCTTCCCGCCTGGGTTGAGGCCCAGCAGGAGGGCCAGGCGGCACAGTGGGACAGGGAAGTCAAATCTCAGCTCCTTGGTCCCCTTTCTGAGCTCTGTTTTCTCATCTGTGAGTTGGGGATCAACTGCTGTTTCAGATGGAGGAGACTTTTTCTTTTTAATGTGAAGCCTGGCTCGTCAAGGTGCTCACTCAACGTTAGTCACCGTCATTCCCCTATTTCCCACTTTCCCGACCTCTGCCTGTGTGGGGAACACAAATAGCAGATCCCCCTCACCCAGAACCCCCCACAGGACCCTGCTGCTGACACGCTGGGCGTGTCTCCTCCCAGCTACTCCCCTGCCCCGCCCCCAAATAACCACACACCCTTCGCCAAGGACCAGGACCTGCTGCTGAGAGGCTTGGAGAGGATGATGCTCCCACCCCACACCTCGTAAAGCGATGTTTCCTTGAGTTCCCTCAATTCATTCGCAGTTTTGCATCCATCCACTCAGCCACGAATCCCTTCAGCGGTTTGTTTAGCAAATGGTGGCTGACCCTCTACTCTGTGTCAGTCACTAGGCTTAGCTGCAGTGGTTCTCAACCTTCTGGCCCTTTAAATACAGTTCCTCATGGTGTGACCCAACCATAAAATTATTTTCGTTGCTACTTCATAACTGTAATGTTGCTACTGTTATGAATCGTAATGTAAATATCTGATATGCAGGATGGTCTTAGGCGACCCCTGTGAAAGGGTCGTTCGACCACCAAAGGGGTTGTGACCCACAGGTTGAGAACCACTGGTTTAGAGCAACAAAGAAGCCTCAGGAGGTGATGCTGATGGCGGAGGGCTGGTAAAGTGATCGGCGATGGGATAGAGGAGCCATGCCCGGGACTGGGGGGGCCCTCAGATGTTTCTCACATGGGGTGACATTAATTCCTAAACCTTGTTCCAAATTGATCACTTTTTTAAATGTTGGTGTCTAACTCCCGGGCGTCTCCTCTGCGCCAGGGCCTGTGCTGGGAACAAGGCCGCGAGCAGCGCCCGCCTCTGCCCGCAGACGGTCCCCAGCGGGGGCAGCGATCCCAGCCTCGGGGTGACCAATCCTTGGGGAGACTCTGAAGGAAGTCATGAGCACTTTCTCTAGGAAGAGGCCTACACCCACACAGTTGTGCACGTGCTTTAGGATCCTCAGAAACTGCCCCAGCCCTCCCCTCCCCCGTGGACTGAAGAGACCCTTGGTCTGGCGGGAGATTCGTAAGTCACATGTGAAGTACAACACGGTATCTACAGAGAGAGACACTCAGGGGCTGTGGGAACCCCGAGAGGTGCTTCACTTGCTTGTGGGCAGGGGCAGGAAGGACTTCCTAGGGGAGCAACTCTGTTGAGCTGAATATTCGAGGACAAACAGGAATTAGCCAGAAGGACCATGGAGTCACCGAGACGCAGGACAGCACCCCATCCCAGGGGAGCTTGTCGTGTAGGAAGGGCCTTCCGACAGGTACAGGCCATGCAAGGACCTGCTGGCACTTGGGGAGCCAGGCATGCAGCTGGGGGCAGGGGAGAGGGAACACCATGGCTGAGGAGCTGGGTCTCCGCCCCTCCAAGGGCCCTGCCAACTGCCTACCTGGAAGGGATGCCAGGCACTCAGCGTCTTTCATGTTATTGTGGCTCAAACGCCCTAAACAAGGGGCAGCTGAGGCAGCACCTCCCCGTGTCTCAGGTGAGGACAGTAAGGGCCAGTCTGACTCAGGGGCCACCTGGGGCTGCCCGTCAGGATTGGCTACAGCCCACATCCTGCCCCTGTCCCGATGCCATCCCTGCCCTGAAAGCCTCCCACCTCTCCCAGGGCCCCTCTTGGGGACTCTGTCCAGGGTCAAAATGAAGTTCGCCTTTGTGTCCTCATTTGTGGGGCTGGAGAAGAGTGGGAAGAGCTTCTCTGAGGAGGTCTGGTCTGAGGGGGGGACAGGGGCGGGTCCGAGTCAGGAGGTGGGTTGCTCACCTCTTGCTTGCATTATACTAAGGGTCCCTGGTCCCCTTCATGGATAGCATAATGACGGAAGATCGTCTGAATGAAGTTAAAGCCGGTAAGTGGTGCCCTGTGTTGGTGAGATTTCAGGGGCCAGTGAGAGAATGAGGAGGCTCACAATAGGTCAGAGGAAAGGGAAGGGATGGTCCCAAGGCAAGAGTCCTCAGCTCAGCTCAGCTGTGTTAGTCTTCATGCACGCGAGTACATGTTAGGTACCATGGAGTCCCCAAGACATCACCCCAGCCTAGGGGAGCTTATTGTCTAGGAACCCAGGCTCAGAAAGCCAGGCCAAAAACCACTTAGTTCAGAGCAAGCAGCTCAGACTCTTAAGGGCGGAAGATTACTTTTGTAACTGGGAAAGCCGATGGGAGAGCTGAAGGGAGGCTGGGGCAGTCCAAGAAGGCTTCCTGGAGGAGGCATGTTTTGCTTCAGCCTTTGAAGTGTAAACAATTTGAGGAGCTGGGAGACACATAGGATGAGAGGAGGCTGAGCCGAAAGTACCTAAGCCAAGGCGTGGAAGTGAGAAGGAAGGATGAGGTGTGAGACCCGTGTGGGGACCTCTTAACAAGTGGCCTCTTTCCTTCCCGTGACTCAGCTCTGGAAAACTTGAGACACGACCCGGAAGCATCGGTGTGCATCTGTGCGGCCCAAGCCCAGGACAGCATCCTGACCAGCTGCTGGCGGACCTCCTGGCCAATGACACATGCAGACCTGTGGGTGTGCGACCCGGCCGCCACGCACCGCTGGGGCTCCAGCTGCGAGAACCTGCCCACGTCCCACCAGCCACGCTCCTGGATCATGCAGGCCCTGGGCTCCTGGACGACGTCCTTGAGGCAGTGATGTCCCTGAGCCCCAGCCCTCCGCAGGGCAGGCCCTGGCCGCAGCCATGCTCACTATAAATGCCACGTGGCTGACCTCTCGCCCCCGAGTGTTTCCTTGTGGGAGATGCCCCGGGGTCTGGAGCAGTCATCGCTCCGCACAACAAATCTGTGAGAGGAGCCTGGCCTTCCTCGTTGACTCGGTCAACATTTACGGACTCGCGTAGGCTGTTTGTCCACACGTGATAAGTGGGGAGGCTGAGGCTCAGAGAGGTGAAGCGGCTTCCTCAAGGCCACACAGTAAGTGTGCTGGGCGTTTCAGTTCCCCTTCCCCCACTGGGAGAGCTTAAGTACGAAAGGAGATGAGGACATGGGTATTTTTTTTTTTTAAATGGGGGACATCTGTAAGACTTTATTTTTATTTATTTTTTAAAAATAAATATATATTTTATTGATTTTTTACAGAGAGGAAGGGAGAGCGATAGAGAGTTAGAAACATCGATGAGAGAGAAACATCGATCAGCTGCCTCCTGCACACTCCCCACTGGGGATGTGCCCGCAACCAAGGTACATGCCCTTGACTGGAATTGAACCCGGGACCCTTGAGTCCGCAGGCCGACACTCTATCCACTGAGCCAAACCGGTCAGGGCGATGTGGGTATTTTTTGAGGGAGGAAAAGAAGAACCTCCTCCCACCTCGAGACGTCATGCACAACCCAGAACCCTAATCCCTGAGGCCCACCCTCGGGCCTTTACCCAGAGCTTGGTCACCATTCACTTGGGCAGCATTTACTAGAACTGAGCAGCTAACCTGGGCCATGCCTGCTCTGGGTACCAGAGATACAGACCCAGCCCGGCCCCGGGGCAGTCTGTGGTCTGATGCGGTGGTTCCCCACAGCAGGGTGATTTTTGAGCCCCGGGGAATATTTGGCAGTCTCTTGAGACATTTTTGGTTTCTACAGTTGGGGAAGGAGATGCTATTGGTATCGTGGGTAGAAGCCAGGGATGCTGCTAAACATCCTCCAATGCACAGGAAAGCCCCCACGGGGAAGAATTATTCATCCCAATTGTCAAAAGTGCTGGGGTTGAGAAGCTTTGGTCTAAGAGACACACAGCCACCCATAGCCCAGCAGGTGGTGAAGGGAAGCGTGGAGCTGTGAGGTCCAGAGGAGATATATAGACCAGCTTGGGGTTGGGGTGTCAGGGAAGGTTTCCCGAGACAACGCCCCCTCCAGGGGGTTTGGAAAGATGCCCGTATGGTAGATGCGTATGGAGAGCAGGGCACCTAGGGCCAAGGCCCAAGGGCAGATACATAGGTGCAGCAAAACCCAGTGGGGGGAAGAGGTGGGCAAGGATTGGTCACTGTGGCCTTGGAGGCTGTGCTAAGGAGGGACACCTCACCAGGAGAGCAGTGGGAAGGTGTGATGGGGAGGTGAGAGGCAAGCAGGGGAGACACGGAGATTTCTGCTTTGGGAAGCTCCCTTCTCCTGGGGATACAGGCTTCCCCAGGCACTGCTGGTGGGAGGGAGATGAGAGCAGCCACTCAGAACAGGAATCTGTCTGTCTGCAGCCACGTTGTTTATACCCAGGACCCTGAATGTGCCGTGCTTAGCATGGCCGGGGTGAACCTGAGGGGGGCAGGTGGTGAAGGATTAAAGAACACAGACAAGACAATAAAGCTGGTGCGAGGTGGGACACTGGTCTTGGAGGGAGAAACAGTGCCACAGCCTGCAAGCCGACTCTTTGTTTTATAGCCAGATTCCAGGAGGCAAAGTAATGGCGTGGTCAACATGTTTACAACGTTCTCGCGGGTTTCAAGTCTACTTAATTACATGCACCTAAACTCTATCAAGCTTTGTTTTGGCAGCACTTGCTGCACTTCCTGCAGCCCACATCACTCAGCCACCTGGGACCACAGGTTCGGACCATAAGGTCAAGCTTACAATTACAGTGGGGCCTTGACTTACGAGTGTCCCGACTAACGAGTTTTTTTAGATACCGGCTGTCTCTCGGCAGATTTTTTTGCATTGAGTTGATAGAGTAATTTGAGTTAACGAGCTCCTTAACGAGCTTGGTCTCCGATTAAACTCGTAAGTCAAGGCCCCACTGTATAGCCTTTGGCTATAATTGTGCTGGGAGGGCTTTGCCCTCCAAGCTGGGACCTGCATGTGGCTTTGCCACAAAAGGACTGTGCCCCTCTCATTAGTCCGAGGCTTGAACCTGTCCAAACGCTGTAGCCGCTCTCCACACCTGAAATTCTATGTGGGCACACATCTCAGAGAACTCCCCCCACAGGTCCATAAGGAGCGATGGGTGAGGGAGATGCTCACTGTGCTCTCTGTGGTGCCTGTGAGAGGAGGACCTGGCCCTCCATCCTCAGGGAGTGAATGGGCGCCATGGAGTCGAGTCCCACAAAGCAGAGGTGGTGGGGGTACCATGGGCAGGACCTAAAACCCAGTGCTGAGTGGAAAAAGCCTATTAAAAATGTATGCACAAGAACACATACAAGCTGAAAATACACATTATAACACATTAGAGTGGTGGGAGGGGCTGAGGCGGGCTCTGGGGCATAAAAGGGAATATTGGGGAAAAAGGAGTGGCAGAAAGCTCACACTAAGTGGAACGAAAGGGCGGGCAGCGGGTTGGGGGAGTTGTGTGGACAAGAGCACAGGCAGGGAGACCTGGCCGGAGGCTTCGGAGAAGAAGGTAGGGGTGCTGGGCTGCAGTGTGGGATGAGAAGGGTGAGCAGACCTGTGTGAGATTCAGGATAGAGAATTTTCAGAAGCTGGTGGTTGATGAAGGAAGGGGAGGAAGAGCAAGGTACTCAGGTTTCTGGGTGGATGACTGGGTCAGCGGTGTCCCCGCACTGAGTGATCCCTCATAGCAGGAGCAGGTTTGGGGAGGGGTGAGTTCAGGCTGGACCTGGTGAGCTTGATGGGCTTGTGTGCCATGCTAGTGGAGACATCCACCAGGTGGCTGGCTGCACAGGGGTGGAGCTCAGCAGAGGATCTGAGATGGAAACAGACCTGAGATTCATCTTTGTACAGGGGTGAGATCCCCGGGGTGAGTGTAGAGTGGGAAGAGACATAAGCCCGTGGAGCACCTACATTTAAGCTCCTGCTGCGGATAAGGAACCCATGAAGTTGACCACACAATCACCCTCCAATAAATGGTAGGCCAAGGCCAAGACCATCAGGATTCTGGGCTAGAGAGAGAGCAGGAAGTGGGATGGTCCTTTTCCATTGCCAAGAGTGTTCACAAGCATGGCCTCCTTGGCGTTTCATAGCAGCCATACAGAGTTATGGGGAGGGTAGACTGGCTTCATGGTCTATCGTCAACATGTGAGGACAGGGCTCAGACGGTGGGCCTTGTCCAAGGTCACAAAAGGGAATCAAAGTGTGAGTCCCAGAGGTCTCCTACCCATGCCTCAGCCCTTTCCTCCCAGAGACACTGCTGCTTTCATTGGCTAGAACTCAGGTTTGGGTGCGGCCTTGACAAATGACAGCGACCATATTCCAGATGTAGGTGGCCCCGGAGCTCAACAGAAGCTACCAGGCTCAGTTACTGGCCGAAGCCCCCAAGTGGTCTTGAGTTGGAAGGGTCACAGAGCATTGCGAGAGTCACTTCCCTTCTCTGAGTCTCCCCTATCATCACCTTGGTTTTATAGGAATCAAATTTAAAAGTGGAAGCAAAAGGACTTATTAGGCTCTGCACTCAAGAAGGGAAAAGATCATGAAAAGGTCAAGTATGGGAACCGTAGTTAGGGAGCAGGCTGGAGGAGGACGTGTGGAAAAGCTTTGGGTTTGGAGGACAGGGACCAGGTGATCTGCATGTGGGCAAGTTAGAAGGAAAGACACAGTCCTGGCCCTGGAAGGCTCATGGCCCTCCATGTGTCCTCCTTAGCCCTGCTGTTTCTTGCATCCTCCACTGCTGGTTTTAGATCTCTTCTCTCCCCAGGTCTCTAACAGTCTCCTTCTCAATCTCTTCACCCAGCCTCCCCTATCAATCTTTCACCTGGCAACCCAGGGCCTTCCTGAGACAAACTTGCCCTTGGCTCACTATCCTCTGCAGAATGAAGGCCAATGTGCAACCCGGCCCTCTGGCCCTCTCCCACCTTGCTGGCCTTACGCTCCCAGTATCCAATATGCTGGCTGCTGTATACCTCCATTCCTCCCTGCATGTGGGCTCCCACGGCCTGAAATGCCCAGCTTTCCCTCCAACCTCCACCCATCTGCAGAAACCTTCCTCATCTCTGCATCACCTCCTCTGTGAAACCTCCCCGAATCTCCCTGTTGCCAGAAAGGGGACCTGGCCCTGAGTGGGTCTGCCTCGGGCTGGTCTGTAGTTTGTGGGTTCTTGACTTCATGCAGGAAAGATTTCACAGTCCAAGTCCAAGTGACTTTGAGAGTACAGTATGTTTATTAAAGCTGGGGATGGTGAAACAAGGGAGGGCCTAGGATAGAAGCAGCAACAGGAGAGAGAGCCTAGGCTCCCTGGAAACATTATAGGAAAGAAATGAACCTACGTGGGCTGCTTTGCCTCAAGTCAGAGGAAAGGTGGCCTTAGAGACAGGTTAGGGGGTTAGCCCGGGGCAAGCTGCTGCTGCCCATTGCTCCTCTGGTTGCAAGTCTCTTGGGTCCCTTAGCGTTTAGGAGATGTGTGTCCCGAAGGAAGAAGAGGGAAAAGGAAAAGGTGCAGGTGTGCTCCTGGGAGGGAGAGCCTGTGCTGGGTCCTCTGTTTTGAGGATTTTTAAAGGCTGGGAATTTAGGGGCGGTCTTAGGGGAGGGTTTCAATAGAATATTCATCTGCTTTTCTAGGCGAACCTTTTCAGGATCATGGTTTCTACTGATTGGCCATTAGTCACAGCAGCTGGTCTGGGGTCACCCACCTGGTTTTGCTGCTTTCCTGGGCCTGGCTGAAATACAACTGAGGCCTAGATGTTACCTCTATCGAGATGACCTTCTGTAACTAGCTGTAAATTACTCGGCCAGTTGGTTCAGCTATCTGTCTCCGTTTCCTCATTCCACTTGTCAAGGAATTTTCCTAGCTTCTTA